TTTTTTTTGTGCCCCACGTTGCTTCATTGTGCAATTATTAATACAAAAATCCCAATCATGCCAAATGATTAATTACTCATAATAAATTTAATGATACAAAAGTAAATTCATTAAGCTATTTTGAATGTAAATAATTGAATATAAATAAAATTTAATGTCACGACCCGAATCCCGGATCCATCTCAATTTGGTTGGTTTTTTAAGTTTTGATGAACATCCTACAAATTAATGAAAGAACAAGTTATTTAGAAATTGTATGGAATGATTCTAATTTCTTAATGAGTTGTTAATTGACATGTATCTAGCCTCTAGGAATATGTGATTTAGCCAGGGTGCCTAGCCAGACACCGATGAGCTAGTACTCTCACAAAGCAAGAAGAATTAGAACTCGCTCAAAAGATGGGAGGGGGTTCAACAACCATTCAAGTCTAGTTTTTCTAGCTTGGTATGTTGAGATAGATCATGTGAAAGAATTCAAGACATTAGAGAACCATTATAGTAGATATGCCACTGGATCAATTCCATGAAAGAGCCTAGCAAGCATAAAAGGGTTTGCAGCGTGACCTAATTATAAACCAATGATGACAATGCTCACTCCACAAAGGAGGCCACTGGGTAGTGATAAGTAAAAGCATCACAGATTAACAGTTTAACAAATGAGGAAAGAGATTAAAGAGAAAAGAAGGAAAGAAAGAAGAAGATGGTATGTGCATGCTTACCACCTAGAGGCTCTTCTCCATCGTGAAGATTTTGTCCATGCAAGCACAATGTTGAGTACTCTAGACCACATATTTTCTTGCATGCTTCGTATGCAATCAAAGAAGAAAAAGAAAACGCAAGAACAGAGATGAAATGAGATTTGGTATTGGGATGGTTTCTTATAGGGAAGAGATAATCTTGAGGACATAATGTTTTTGATTTATGGTCTGAGGAACGTATGATACTTACATCATAGTTTCCTAATTTAAGAGAAATGCACTGTAACAATCTTCAACACTACACTCCAGCTCGTTTCCCTTTTGGAGTTATTTCCTTCCATTTTCAAAGATTTCATCAAAGCAGGAAAAGGGTAAGTGAATATTTGGTGGATGAATCACGAACTGACCTTTTGACTATGGAGGATTCTAAATGAGTAATGCATTTAACTCCAATTATATATTCATTCCAAGAAAGTTTCTAATAATATAAACTCTTTAATGGTCGATGTTTCTTTATATATATATATATATAGATGTTAGGGAGTATATTTAGATTAACTTATCGAATTCCTTTCCCGATCGACAATAATTTTAAGAACACACCCTTATATATTTAGAATAAATTTCTTTGGGCGGTAGCTTAATGAATTTTCTTTAGAGAGAGAGAGAGAAACATAAATATAAATGGAAAAAATAAAGTCATAATAATAACTCTTTCTAAACTCAAAAATGATTTTGAATTCTCTTTCATTTTTTTCTCTCAATTTTTTTTATCTATTTTTATATGAAACCAAAAAAATTCTTAGAATTATTTATCTTGTTCTTTAGTAATTTATAATTTTTTAAAGTTTATTCAATCATCAAAATGGATAAATATACGATGAAAATGATTTGCAAACCCATAAATAAATATATTTCTCTTCATTTTACCCTTTATGTGTTTTTTTTTAATCGATATATACCAAAATGTTAGAGATTATCTTATGAAATGGCTTTTTTTTAGAAATTTATCGAATATTTATCAAGAACATGGGCATAGAATAAGAAAAAGGTAATTCTTGACTTTTTGAGAACTTTATATTAACTATTTACCAAGAACATCACATATTTGATTTTTTTTCCCTAAATAAAGAAATTAATGGTTTAAAAGCATAGTGATGTCAAACAAAGCTTTGACTCTTTAAAGCTTTTAAGTAACCTTGAGTTTAGGCGACATGGGATTGCGTATTATCAAATTCAATCCTGTAGTTAATTTTTCTTTTAAATGAAAAAAAAAACAAAAAAAAAAGCAAGAGAGATATGTATTTCATTGCCATGAGACGATTAGCTCAAAATTTATAATTTCAAGGCCCAAAGAATAAACAAATGCAAAGGCGATAAAAGAGATAGTCAAAGGGCTTAGAGCCCATAAATTAGAGGCAAACATAGAGCCCAGCCCAAAGTTCAAAGGCAGCCCAATAAAAATTCAGAGAGCACTATGCATCTCCCTCTCTTGAGCATTTAACACATCAACACACTGTTTAAAATATTATAATTGAATTTAATTATAATATTTCATTTAGATTTAATTAATAAAAATTTGTAAAAAACAAAAATAATCTCCCTCTCTTAAGCATTTAACACATCAACACACTGTTTAAAATATTATAATTGAATTCAATTATAATATTTTAAATACTGTGTTGATGTGTTAAATGCTTAAGAGAGGGAGATTTTTTTTTAAATTTTTATTAATTAAATCTAAATGAAATATTATACTTAAATTCAATTATAATATTTTAAACAGTGTGTTGATGTGTTAAATGCTCAAGAGAGGGAGATGCATAGTGCTCTCTGAATTTTTATTGGGCTGCCTTTGAACTTTGGGCTGGGCTCTATGTTTGCCTCTAATTTATGGGCTCTAAGCCCTTTGACTATCTCTTTTATCGCCTTTGCATTTGTTTATTCTTTGGGCCTTGAAATTATAAATTTTGAGCTAATCGTCTCATGGCAATGAAATACATATCTCTCTTGCTTTTTTTTTTTTTTTTTTTTCATTTAAAAGAAAAATTAACTACAGGATTGAATTTGATAATACGCAATCCCATGTCGCCTAAACTCAAGGTTACTTAAAAGCTTTAAAGAGTCAAAGCTTTGTTTGACATCACTATGCTTTTAAACCATTAATTTCTTTATTTAGGGAAAAAAAATCAAATATGTGATGTTCTTGGTAAATAGTTAATATAAAGTTCTCAAAAAGTCAAGAATTACCTTTTTCTTATTCTATGCCCATGTTCTTGATAAATTTTCGATAAATTTCTAAAAAAAATCTTTTTTATAAGATAATCTCTAACATTTTGGTATATTTTGAAAAAAAAAACATATAAAGGGTAAAGAGAAGAGAAAAATATTTACCTGTGAGCTTACAAATCATTTTCCTCGTATATTTATCCATTTTAATGATCGAATAAACTTCAAAAAAATTATAAATTACCTAAAAACTAAGATAAATAAATTTGAGAATTTTTTTGGCTTCATATAAAAATAGATAAAAAAATGAGAGAAAAAAATGAAAGAGAATTCAAAATCATTTTTGAGTTTAGACAAAGTTATTATTATCACTTTTAGTTTTTCCATTTATATTTATGTTTGTCTCTCTCTCTAAAGAAAATTCATTAAGCTACCGCCTAGAGAAATTTATTCTAAATATACAAGGGTACAAGGGTGTGTTCTTAAAATTATTGTCGATCGGGAAAGGAATTCGATAAGTTAATCTAAATATACTCCCTAACATCTATATATATATATATATAAAGAAACATCGACCATTAAAGAGTTTATATTATTAGAAACTTTCTTGGAATGAATATATAATTGGAGTTAAATGCATTACTCATTTAGAATCCTCCATAGTCAAAAGGTCAGTTCGTGATTCATCCACCAAATATTCACTTACCCTTTTCCTGCTTTGATGAAATCTTTGAAAATGGAAGGAAATAACTCCAAAAGGGAAACGAGCTGGAGTGTAGTGTTGAAGATTGTTACAGTGCATTTCTCTTAAATTAGGAAACTATGATGTAAGTATCATACGTTCCTCATACCATAAATCAAAAACATTATGTCCTCACGATTATCTCTTCCCTATAAGAAACCATCCCAATACCAAATCTCATTTCATCTCTGTTCTTGCGTTTTCTTTTTCTTCTTTGATTGCATACGAAGCATGCAAGAAAATATGTGGTCTAGAGTACTCAACATTGTGCTTGCATGGACAAAATCTTCACGATGGAGAAGAGCCTCTAGGTGGTAAGCATGCACATACCATCTTCTTCTTTCTTTCTTTCTTTTCTCTTTAATCTCTTTCCTCATTTGTTAAACTGTTAATCTGTGATGCTTTTACTTATCACTACCCAGTGGCCTCCTTTATGGAGTGAGCATTGTCATCATTGGTTTATAATTAGGTCACGCTGCAAACCCTTTTATGCTTGCTAGGCTCTTTCATGGAATTGATCCAGTGGCATATCTACTATAATGGTTCTCTTATGTCTTGAATTCTTTCACATGATCTATCTCAACATACCAAGCTAGAAAAACTAGACTTGAATGGCTGTTGAACCCCCTCCCATCTTTTGAGCGAGTTCTAATTCTTCTTGCTTTGTGAGAGTACTAGGTCATCGGTGTCAAGCTAGGCACCTTGGCTAAATTGTTCACATATTCCTATAGGCTAGATACATGTCAATTAACAACTCATTAAGAAATTAGAATCATTCCTCACAATTTCTAAATAATTTGTTCTTTCACTCATTTGGAGGGTGTTCATGTCAAAATTTAAAAAACCAATCGAATTAAGTTATATTGGTTTTGTAAATTATTAACTGAATTGAAGTGAAATTTGATTTAAATTAAATTGGTCTAGTTTAGTTAAATTTAATTTTTTTTATTATAAAATCAGGAAACCTAATTCCATAAGATATCAAACATTAATTTGTTTTTTTAGAATTTTATATTTCCTACCATTACAAACTTAAGTTGATAAGCGAGGAACAATGCAATTTAACTAACCATTCAAAAGATTTTGTAATAAATCCATCTGTTTTACAATAAATAACAAAAACTATAAATTCATCTTGATCATCAATTATTGTTTTTTGTTAATATGACTAAGATCCTTGGTGAAACATCAGGTATTGAGTCTAAATTTACCTTGTTATCTTTTCTTTAATGAAGGAGTCATCTTCTTCTGCTACAACTTGCAAGAACAGAGGAGAATCATGACGGCTTGTTTAGAAATAAAAAAAGAAGAAAAGTGAGGAAGATAGAAAGATGAGGTTTTTATTTGACTAGAATCTACATAATATAAAACTTTTGGATGGAGACAAACACAAAAAAATTGAAACTTCAAAGGAAAAGAAAGATTGAGATAAATATTTCCAAGAGTTAGGGCAGTGGCTTTTTACAAGGAGGGAAGTTATGTTAGGGTTAGGTTAACTTAAGTATTTAACTATTTATATTCTTCTTAATTTACAAGAATAAGGAGGGGAGTTATCTTAGGGTTAGGTTAATTTAAGTATTTAATTATTTATATCTTTCTTAATTTTTAGGTTTTTTGATAGATCTAGTTCGGTTTGTTAATTTCAATTTTAAAATTAAAATCAAATTAGACTTGTTAGAATTTATAATTTTAAAAATTGATTTAATTAGTTTTTCAAACACCCTTACTAATTTGTACTGTTCGGGTTCGTGTTGCAGCAAGAGGCTGATAGAGCAACTTCAGCTTCATCTGGCTGCACAAAAGCACAGGAAAGAGTCAATCATAAGACAATCGCGTGCCGACATCGCTCAGCTCCTTCAGAATGACCGGCTTCAGCAAGCCTTAACGAGGGTACCCTTTGATATTTCCCATCTTGATCCTTTCCATGATACAATATATGTATCCTTTCCATAATACACCATATGTATCTATAAGCTTACTACTAACCAAAAGTTATCTTAAAATGAGGCGCAGGCCCAGCAACTCTACAAGGACCAATGCCTATTGGCTGCATATGATCAGATCAACCAATTATGTGGATGTATCATCACCAGTATGCCCCACATTAGCCAACAACAGTACACACACATAACTCTCTTTATACCCTACTACTTCATGGCTCTGTGGCTAAACATGCTATTCATCACTCTATATTTTTCGGCAGAGCCTGGCATTGCTTGCCTATTGATGTCAGCCAGGCAATATCAAACTTAATATTTGCTTCCTCAAGATGTGGTGACCTGCCAGAGCTACACATGCTGCGAAGCCTGTTTAAGATTCGTTATGGAAGCAAATTTGAGACTACCAATGTTGAATTATTGCCTGGAAATCTTGTGGATTCCGAAATGAAAGAGAACTTATCTGTGAATTCAGTGCCAGAGGATGTAAAGCTATGGCTAATAAACGGAATCTCTTATGAGTACAATATTCATCTGGGATTTCAGAATTTTGGGCATAGTTTCAGACCACAATGGCAGGAGGTGGGTTTATAATTGATATGCTGGAACTTTCCTTGTAAGAAGTCTTGAAGCTTATGATTTATGAACAAAAGTTATGAGTTGCATAAGTTGGTATAAACTTTCTATACAGTTTTAGTCTGCTTTTCTAGAATAAACTGAACTCCAGTAACTGTTTTATTAGTTCTGTTTGAATTTGCAGTCTTTCTAATGACAAAGCAAATCTGTGCAGAAAGCTGAAGTTTTGGATTTGGACATCCAAGATATTTGCAGTGACAGCGATGAGAGTTCCATACCGGCTTCAAAACCCAGGACACCAACAAAAACAAAGTCACTTTATAATGATATGGACAGAAGCAGTACTGATAGTCTGGGTAGAAGTCATATCAAGACTAAGAAAAATGAAGTTTTAATCAGAAATCTTGAAGCACCAGCAACTAGCACTTCATCTTATGGTACCCTTCCTTTTCATCAGACATCTTTTATCTATCTTGATGATATTGAAGTGAAGTCTTTGAGTCAAAGTCACAGCAGCAGTAAGAAAGCTCCTAGAAGTGTGGTAGACTCCTGCAATAGCAGTGCAAGCCCTAGTAGTGTCAGTAATGTGACAAAAAGGCCAGCCAAGCCAAGGTTGGTTAAGAAACCTGTACCTCCTCCCTTGAACAATGAACATTACCGAATTTCAGTCAAAGGTCGAAGTTCCTTAGATAGTTCAATTAATGAATGGAAAGGGCAAAGTGGAAGCTCATCTAGCTCAAGCCATGTCCACCCAAAGCTCCCAAACTATGAAGATGTAGTAGCTAAATTTACAGATATCAAGGCAGAATATAGGCACCGCAAAAGCTTCTGTTATTGAAAACTTAAAGAGGATGTATTGGCTAGACTTCTTGCTATCACATTTATCAGCTGTCTAATCTAATGTCTTGTGAACCGTGGTAGGGTTTAATGAAGAAAAATGCAAATCCTTCACACTACCTAATCAACAGTACCCTTGACTACTTTCAGTGAATTCCTGTTATTTTAACGATTGAAGTTGTACAGCAATTGTTGATGGTTATGTGGGTTCATGCTGCTGTCTTCATTATCAGATATTACAAATCCCAAGTTCCAAGTACGAATGTAATAGAATAAATTGTAAGCTCAACAGTGCTTACAGATCTCCAAAGACTTGTTGTTCAAGATAAATAACTACCAAGCTAAGGAACAATGCCTCATCATGGAATGCAACTAGTCGTTGAGAATAAATGAATGCATTGCACCAAACAATAAAAGCACCAGGGAGTTCTGGGTATGCATACAGACAGAAATTTGAATGAATATCACAGGTGATTCAAAAACTATTCCGTGTATGATATACAGACCCAAAATACACACCAGATAAAAGAATTAACTCTTTACACCCTCAACCTAGCAAATCTCAAACCTGATAAATTACAAAATATACTCATATGGCTGCAATACCGAAGGCCTTATTACGTATGAGAGCTATCTCCTGATCTCACTCCTTTTTTTCCTTTTTTTTTGGGTTGCTTTTATTTGTGGGGAATAATCGTAGGTTGGGAAGGGCTAAGGTACTTGTTTCCCTGAACAGATACGCAGCGTACACACAAGTTCCACCAGCTGTCCTGTGGGATCAGTTTGCAGCAGAGGCTCGACCTTTCCTTCCAAACAAAAGAAGCTTTCTAAACCCTTTTGCTACTTTAGGAGAGTTATCGTCACTGTTCCATTTCTTCCTGGAGTGGATTGGTTCTGGGTTTATTTCATCAGGTGGTGGGGTCGATATTTCTATTTCAGATTTTTCGTGTGACTCCAAAATTTCACTGAAAGCATCATTTCCTCTGATATCCACAGCGCATGGGTTCAGAGCCCTATATGGTGACTCTAGCACAGGATGTATTATTGTTTCAGATATGTACTCACCATGATTATCAGAAGTTTCTATGTCTTCACAAACAACTGGAGCTACTTTAGAGAACCCCTCGTCACCTGCTTTAGAGTGATTATGTGGGGCAGAAGAGTCCATGTGGAGTGAATCACCATTGCAGCCTTTATCATCCGAGTTACCTGCTGATATCATATTTCCTGCATTATTCTCAGTAGAAGCAACACTGTGTAACTCCTTTATATCTTTGAAACCATCAATTTCATCTGCAGACTGAGCTGCTTGCATAGGTAATAAACCAGCAAGCTTCTCTGCTCTGGTTATTGTCCCAACCTTCTTTCTGTTGACATCAGATTTGACGGTGTTCGGAGGTTTCTTATTATCAGCACCAGCAGCCTTCTGAGCTAAACCATTAGCCTTCAAGTTTGCCTTTTTGGGCTGGGCAGCTTTCAATTCAGTTGATGGCGACTTTGTTGTTGCCCGAGCAGTAGCAAGGCGATCAATGGTGGAACTTCTAAAGAGTGGTTTCTTTGTCTCTTGGCTTGGAGATTTGCTTTTAGTCTTCTCATTCTTTATGGAAGTTGAAGTAGATACTTTCCCTGCAGGGACTCTCCTAGATGTTGCCGGAATACTGCCAGCAGCATTCCTTTCCGCTATTCTCTTCTGACGTTGAATCAATAACTCCTCCATTCTCTTCCTGTTTACTTCTTCCTGTTTTCAAGTGGATAAAATTAAACGTCAACCAAAAAAGGAGGTTAAGTAATAGCTAAGCGAACAATCAGGACGTTAAATAACTGAGCAGAATTGAACAATTTCAGATACGATGAAGCTCTTCTATGATTTCCATGAAGGGAATGAAACAAAAAGAGGAGAAATGCTTTAATACTTGCTTAAATCCTCGTTAAAATTGCTCTTCTATGATACCTTCTCGGATTTGCTCTTCGGAAGTGTGGTTCTGCTTGCAGAAGCTGGTTTCTTTGTCCTTGACATGATATCAGATTTGCTTCTACCAAGAGATCCGTTAGGAACTTTTGACCTGACTTCTTTACCAGCAACTTTTCCGCCAGAATTTACACTTGTTTTGCCATTGGTTCCCATACTGTTAGAAGGAAGCTTATCCTGAGCAGTATTTGTTTCATAATCCATCTCCGGAGTCCAAGATGGTAGAGCATGCTCAGCAGCTGAATCCCGCCCAAGCACCATGTAAAGGTCATCTGGTTCATAGACATCATATGCTTCAGATTTATCATGAGATCTCTCTCTCATTCCATTCTCATATAGAGTCGCGTCAATTACATCTGGAGCAATGCTTATGTCTGTCCGTAATAGTGAATCAGACTGATCATCTACTAACGGTCGAGCTTGGATCATGAATGAGTCATCCACTAATACATCTTTCTTATTTTTCTCAGTTTGGAAATGCTCACCAGTTAATGATGAATCATAATCATCACTAAATGGTTTATGGTCCCTGTGATCATCCCTGTCCAGTTGGCTGCTAATAAACCAATCCCCTTCTTTTTTACTTTTGATTAATGGAGATTCAGTGGAATAATCAGCAACGGTAGGTCGGGTTAAGTTCCCTGATTCTCCAGTTCTTTGAGAAAACAACAACTCCTCATATGTGCTATCCCTCTTATTCATCACTGGGTGGCCATTTGCACTGGCTTCAAAGTTTTCAATGCGAGACTCACCTTCATTACCAGGTCCCCTCTTTGTTGCGATGAACGAATCATTTGCTAATGCTCGTTGCTTTCTTATTCCCTCAGATTCGAGATTAAATTCCAATGACCTTCCCTCCTCATAGCCCTTAGCTGTAAAGTCATCTCTGTGAACCTGTGGAAGATGAGGTTCAATTTCAGAAGAGTCCAAACATCTGTCCTGCATGAGAAGGCTCTGAAAGGCACCCCAGTGCTCTACTTTTTCTCCTTCACGATTATTTTCAGTTATGTTCTTGCCTTCCTGATTGGTAGCACCATTTGAACCATCTATAGTGCTGCGCTGTGATTTCTTGTGATGCCGAGAGGTTGATTTATGCCGTCTCTCTAATGAACCAACAGCTTCCTGTACTTGCTTCTTGAGAACTTCTCCATCAATAAATCCACCCTCATCAGATGTGCTGTCAGACATGCTGCCCTTTTCTCCATCTTTTGTTGAAGTAATGTAATTGATGTTGCGAATGACAACCTTTCGTGATGACTTCTTCCCATGCCTTTTCCTGTGCATCTTATCCACCGATGCCTGCTTTTGGTCACTTTGCAGATTTTCATCTGATTCAGTCTCTGAGCTGGAATCACTAGGCTCAGTGGATTCATCTTGATTAGAAGCTTGCAGTTCTTTTTGACGAGAAGACTTCTTTTTCCTGGAGGATGATTTATGCTTTTCACGGTTGTCAGGTTCCCAGTCTTGACCAAAGCTAGAATTATCAACATTTGGAGGCCATTGAATGTTCCCAGGAAAATATGGAGAGCCAACCTGCATACCAGGAAAAAGGTAGCCTTGATATGGGGACATTTGTTGAAATGCAGGACCTTGAAAGTTGTGCTTGTATTGGGGATGATGATTTGGCCATGGCATTGGCATACGAGCTTTCCCATCAGTTGATTGCATCTGAGCTGATGTTGGCAAACCACTATCTGTAAAGATATGCGACATCAAAGACTGGCCAATAGTATAATGTTTAAACCTTACACTATTGCTAGTTCTCTACTGATTTTTATCAACTATGGGAAACAAAAGAGAGCACAGATAATTCAGGAATAATAATAAATTGCCATTACAATACAAGAGTAAAACAAAAATCAGCATTTACTTCCTAGATTGCATGCAATTGCTACAAAAATACAATAATGGCATGGAATATTTGATGGCACTTACACCTCAATGCTCATCGCAGATAGAGATTAATATTAACCACTATAGCTTCATCCAAAGCATGGCCAACAGGAGGTAGAGGAACTTGGATCTTAAGCAATACCTTGGTTTAGGTCTAAACTTCCAAGACTTGTAGCCGAGTCAGATGCATCAATTGAATCATTGTGCTTCCCACCAGAAAGACCACCAATTTGACCAGGGTAATTTTCCTCACCAGCAAGAACAATGCCAGAAGTCTTAAGATAAGGCAATTCCAACTGAGATGCCTGCATTGCTGCTAGTTCATCCATCCAAAGCCGATCTTGATTCTTCTTCTTGCATAATTCCATGAAATTGATGCATGCTTCCCTACGTGGATTCAGATATAGGTTTTTAACCTTAACTAAAATTTGGAGCAGGGAAGGTTCAACTGCAATATTTCAGGCCAAAAGAATCTAACATCCAGAATCTTGACAAGAAGAGAATTCATAAAACTAGATTGTATTCTAGAAATGCAAAGCAATCATAAAATCAACACTAAATAGACAATACTCATTTTTCATACATTGATGACCAAATAAACTAGTTGCACCACTGCCTTGGCATTTTGTAGCAAGTGCCAACTTAGCCCAAGGACTGGTGGGAAGTTCCAAATGGAGAGGGGGGCACTGTGTAGGGTGATGCCAGATTAAAAAGGGAAAACAGTTCTCAGTGAGAACATCCATGCTGGATGACCATTGATTTTGTCATATTAACGTGCCAAATCCAATACAAGTCTGTTTATCACTACAAGATGATTCCTTATGATACCTTAAACGTGAAGCTCCAAAAGCATCGGCAAAGAAGATAAGATCATTTATACTGTCTGGTTCAAATCCAGTGACCAATGCACGAGCATATGCCATTGCTTGCTCTTTGCGGAGAACAGCCTTTCTAGATTCCAAAGCACGTTGAAGACGAACCCTGTTCATGACCATCGATTGAACAGTCAATGCTTGAGAACTTAAAGGCATTTCAATTAAGTATATTATATCGTCAGACTTGAAGATTTGCAAGTTTGAAACATTTACTTGGAGTTTTCTTCCTGGACACCATTACTGCCTCCACTGTGATCTTCTCTTGACTAAAAGACAAGGCATCAAAGTACAGGTCTAGATTTATGATGTGAGGATTTGGGAAAAAAATCACCACGATCTCTTACACAGGGAGTTTCAACTAAGTGACATACCTTAGATGAGGCAGATGACTTCTGGTAATTCCCAGCTGCACCTGAAATATTTTCTCAAATCCAGTTTAGTTCAGTAAATGAGATGTCTTAAGATCACCAGAGAAATGTTATGGCAATTGCAAGTTACGTGTAGCCCTACTTTCCAATTGAGCCACCAATGTACAGAAAACTCATATCAACAGCTATATGAGATGTAACCAAATTATTAAGATTGAGCTTCAACCATGTACCATTCCAACGAACAAAGAACATAGCTCCAAACATACCTTCTGCATCTGCATTGAATAGTTCATTTGATTGAACTGAACTCTCAATCTGCTCCAGTTCAGTCTCTATTGTCACAAATCTCTCAAGAACTTCTGGCGAGCTAACAAAACACACAAATCTGCAATGACAAACAATCATGAAGTGACAAATCTATACACACAGTAACCAGGTATAATGTCATCGTAG